ATTATTATAATCATAAAAAAAATTAAGAGGACTTAAAGTATTATCTAAATTTGAGATTCTTGCCTCTTTCAAATGATCTTGGGCTTATTATTGATAATTTCCTTATAGAAATTTTAAAAGAACTACCTTGTCAAGTTATCTACATATGTCAATAGGATGGTTTTTGCCATAGTTTCTACATACTACTCCATTCTCTATCCAACAACTATTTGGTAGATGGCTTTTCCTGCAAAGATGATACACTTCTTATCGTTGTTGGTTTCTAAAGTCTTAGGTAGTATTTTTTTTGAGGTTGGAATTCGACATTGGAACCCATTATACCTTGATTCTTATAAAGTGGAACACATAATTATTGCCTTCTTTGATTTTAATAAAAAAATTATTGATTTAAGAAATATTGACTAATATGCCTTAATTGACTACACTTAATGCACCAAAGCCTTGAATTATATCTACCAGATTCTATAGAAGGTGGAGCTTGATTTGGATTTTGATTCTTAGTTAAAAGATTCATCTCTTCTTGCATAGCCTTTATTTGCTGAGAGAATTCATTTTGAAATTCTTGTTGCCTTTAGAGGACTTTATTCTTAAAATATTCCTTCTATCTATTCTTATCTTTTAAGTATGTCAATTTAATAAGAATGGGAGGTGGTCTAACCTTTAAATGTGCTAGATACTAATTTATGGATTGAAATTGAGTTTTCATAGCTCAAAATGAATATTCTTGAAAATTTTCTATATTTTGAGCAATATGGAGATGAAACTACATTCTTACATTTGTTCTTGCTGTTTATTGATATCTTTGATTGTTTGAGCAATTTTTTTGGCCTCCTTTAAATTATCTGGCTTGTCTTTTAGGATCTCTCAAATTATTTTTTTAGTATTAAATCTTTAAATAAAAAATTAAGTGAAGATATCATCTATAAGAAAAGTTTCTACAAATTGGATTATTATTAATTCAAATTGCAAAATATATTCACTGATTTATTCTCTTTTTTCTTATTTCAAAAAAGAGAGGGCGGCAAGGATATTATTTTGCCCTACTTGTAGTTTGAATTTTTTTAGAAATGCTCTCATGAGTATATCTCAATTTTTAAAGATTTGGAAGATGAAGGAGAAGGGAGGAGGGTGGTTTCTATACCATTTGTAAGCTCCATCTTTTAGGGTGCTTGAAAACCACACAAGGTAATAATTTGGGTTGGTAATTAAATATGTTGTGAGAAATTCTATGAACCTCTTCATGTATGCTGATGGTTCATCATCCCTAGTACCTTTAAATATATGGAGGTTGTGAAGCATGGAATTTTCTTATAAATCCTAAAGAATTACAATTGACAAATCTCTTGATTGAACCAAGGAATTGATGGATATAGGATTGGAATTAGTTTCTTTACCACATTCCTTTGGAAGAGAAAGAAGTGTTGACTCTTCTCTCTCTTGATTTACCTCTACAAATAAGTTGGATGAATTGGATTCCAATCCTTATCTTCTTATTCTATTGTCTAAATTTGCTTCAATTGAGTTTAAGTCAAAAATATCTTCTATCATTAAAGATGTGGATTGTTTACTTAGAATCTCTCTTTGTTTTGTCTTTGGTTTATATTTCTTGATAGCTGACTCCAGATTTTCTATAGTTGATGATAAATTAGATTGCCTAAATCTAGTAGAACAATGCATCTATATGACTATCAACCTATCGTTCAACTTAATGCAATTTCATCTACCAACTCACAATAATTTAATTTTTGGCTCCTCTACCTGCAACTTACTTAGAGCACCTTTTGACAAGGAAGGTAAACAAAAGAAAAAACAACTAAAGAAAGAATGATTGCTTAAGTATCATCCCAAGTTAGACTATTCTTTATTTTAATTATTGTATGGAACTATTGTGTATAGGAATGACTCTAAGTAGTCTTAATTGTAAAAAAAAAAATTATATTTAGATGACAAAAAGCTCAAGTTTTTTTTTTTTTTTTTTTTTTTTTTTTTTTACCTTTTTACAACAAGACTATTAAAGAATTATCTACTACAATAGTTAACAATAACTTTTTACTAGAAAAAAATTATTCTTTGTAAGACAATCACACCATATTGAAGAAAGACACATCTGGTTTCATCTCTAGCCAATTTGGCACTAGTTAAAGAATTTCTAATGTAGTTTCTGTCTATCCAATTCAAACTAGATAGTTTAAAAAAAAATAAGTTGTAATAGTAAAGGATTCTAAGGCTCTATTGATCCTATATGAAAAAATCTATAAGAAGATTTAAAAGATTACCTCTTTTCATGTCTTTTTCCCAAATTCTACCCTCTAATTCCTAGCTCTTGCTTCTTACATTCAAGAAATTTGCTAAAATTTCAAAAAAAGAAATAATTGATGAGAGTTCAAGGACTTATTTGTTTGTAAGCTATTAATGCCACTCTTCTTTCTTCTTGAGCTCTTTCTCCTCAAACCACAATCTATGTTAGCAAAATAAATTAAAACTCAATGAAAGTTCTTAAAAATAATATTCACCTTAGATTTATGACTTGAATTTGTTGGTCTTTTCTTCCCTTGTTGATGAAGAATTTTCTTGAGGTTCTTTTTAAGCTCCTACTATATTACTTCCTGTGAATAGAAAGAATACTAGAAGTAGAGGGAGTGATTAAATCTTCCTACCACTAAAGAAAAGTCCTTAACTAGAAATTCACAAAAATAAAAAGAAACAATACAAGAGGTAGAAAGAGTGATTAAATCCTCCTACCACTAGAGATAGGCCCTCAATTAGAAAAATTATAAGGAGGGATAGTGAGGATCCTTGAAGACAAGCTCCACCCTTGATGATGAACCTTTAGAACTTCCAAGCTTCTTCTTCATTCCAAAAATTGCCAAAAATTGAGTATTGATGTAATTTCAAAGAAATTTGTACTACTCCAAGCTTATCCTTCAAATACTTCTATTATAAATTAATTTAATTTAAAAAGTCAACAAGCACTAAGAAATATCTAAAATAATTTGTAATAAAAATTTTAAAAATTTTAAAAATAAATAAATAAAATCCATCCTTATTATATATTGAGTATTTTATCACGTCAACCAATGTCAATAGTAATTAATAAAAAAAATATAGAAATGAGAAGAATTTTTTCAACAATTGTACAATTCTATGTAATTTATAGAAATACAATTACTAAAAGAACTAAGAATTACTCTTCTTAAGAACTTTCATGGTACTAAGTTTTTGAAGATCTATTAACTAAGTTTATTTTGTTATTAAATTATTATTTCTTAGTTATTCAATCCAAGCTTCTCATCTTAAATCTAATTTAAATTTAGTTAGTAAATATATACTTTTTAAATAATTTTTATAATTTAAAAAATAAAATTTTATATTATATAATTAGAATACAATAATAATAGAATTTCAATATATATATATATATATAGTATTTATTGTAATTTGTATATAAATATTTTTGAATATTATAGTAATAACTTTGATATATATTTGATTTGTATATATTATGACTTTTAAAAAATGATATATTATTTTATTATATTTAATAATAAATTCGATTTTCATATATTTTTATCAAATTAATTTAAATAAAATAATATAATATATCTAATTTGTAATTATTGTATTATTATTTGAATAAAATTAACATAATACATAATATAATAAAAAATTTAATCAACAAATATATATATATATATATATATATATAGAGAGAGAGAGAGAGAGAGATATATACGATTTTTATGTAAATTAATTTGATTTGTATGCATAGTTTTTATTTCATGTATATAAATTAAATTTGATTTGATCAAATTATACATAATAATCAACTATGATTTGATTTGTATACATACTATAATTTTGAAATTTAGCAACAGGTATTCAGTAGAATAATTCTATTCTACGTGACTTGTGTAGGATTAGTTTCTGGAGGACTCCAACTGTTCTTAAAAATCCAGCCACCTGAGATCCTAAATCTCTGGAGAGTTCAGAATCCTGTTTCTATGGAAGTTTTTTTCATTCTAGTGAAGAATGCAAGATTGAGGACCTACCAGAAAGATTTTGATTTTAAAATTTGAATACAATTCACTAAGAATATCCTCCCTTTTGAAGTGCGCCAAGGGGTGTAAAGCACATGAAACCTTGTTACCACAATCGATGCACTGGATTAACCTTAGGTGTGTCAAAATTAATTAAAAAGTGTAATGGAGTTAAGATAACGCCGGATCTTTGTCGCAACAATGACGAACATGGACAAAAAGAGAGGTGGAGCTGACCCTACGCTAAGCTTTCGTCAAGTTCGTAGACATGGCTCCAGAATGCAGTCAAGGTGCTGCTGCAATGGCAGGCCAGGCGCCAAAGAAGCGTTGGTGGTCGTGGGAGGAGGAGTGCGAGTTTCTAGACGGAACCCAGCTGATGTATCATGTGCAGTCTGCTCCACGAGATCGTCACTCCATTGTACAAGCACAAGCAGGCTGTGCTACCAGTGGAAAAAGAAAAACAACACACAAACAAACAAGCGAACGAAAAGGATGCACGCAAGGCTTCGCTCTCTAGACTGCCCACCTCTTGCCCCTGTATCTTGTTGGTGAATGATTTTGCACACATTATTAGGCCTCGTCTAATTCTTTTTTGTTTAACGACACTGTGTGAGCTCACAGAACCCGATTTGTTTTTGTTTTTTTTAAAAAAAATTAAAGTGTGCTTCCTTCGAGAAAGTTTGCAATTTGAGGGTAAGAAAAGCTCCATGAATGAGTCGTATTGTTGAGGGGGAATGGAATGTTACAGGTCACGATGAACACTATTATTTGACGATCATTCACAAGGTTCATGCCACTGTCGAGGCTTTGTAAAGGTGGGCCCCATTCAGGCACATATCATCCAAGCGCGACAAATACAGCAAATGCGGTTCCTCGCGTGTTCCTCGACTTTCCGGCGCTTATTCCTCCCGCGACTTTTCCTTCCGGAAATCAATTGGGCCGCTTCGAACATGCGGGTTCCATTTCCATCTTTGGGTGTTACTCCGATTGTGTTTCAGTACGAAACGCCGAAAGGAAACATCACCTGAATTTGCCGCATATTTGGCCGAATCCTGCGATTTGAATTGCGGTGATGGAGCTCCCATGCACATTTTGCCTCTAATGTCACCATTTTTAGTAACTTTGCATTGCGTGTTCCGACTACTTTGTAGATGAGGTTTCGCAGGATTGGAATGGTATAAACATGTACATGCCGGACTCCGGGACGATTGCATGGTGCCTGGGACCGGAGTTCGAGGCCCTGTTGTGGAACACACTGTAGATAATTTCTCCAGCTTCATCCGAGTTGGAGAGACATTCAGGTCAGTTGAGATGTTCTGTATGGTGTTTGTTAAGAAATTGGTGGTTTGGATGTGTGACTGATTGGTTTTGGTGAGCCGATATTGGAAGAGGTAGCGGTGGTCTCGAAGACTGAGGGGTAGATTGCTAACCGGGATTTGTAAGCTGCTAGGTTTGATCTCTGTAGACGAAAAGCTTGCTCCCATTTGTTTCCAAATCGTAAGTTTGTTAATTGTATAGTACAAGGTATTGCTGTGTGTTGATTCGCCCGCATTGCAAATTCTGGAATTGATTTTGTGTCATCCGATCCGATCACGTATCGGGTTGTTCTGGCAGACCTGGAGGTGCTGTAGACTCGCTGTAGTTTACCCTGCCTCGTATATTTAGACTTAGTTTGGTCCAGTCCTCAAATTGAATGACCCTATCATCAAACACCACGATCAAGGAGCTATCCCCCAAGAAGCTTCATCTAGATAGTAGATCTGGGGACGCGGCTCCAGATTCCCTTACAAGTTTATCGATATAACAATGCATGAAAAGTTGCTGTTGGACGCCGTATGGTCGAATTTTAGCTGTGTTGAGTTCTCTAGGCACATGCATGCATCACTTTTCTTCCTGCAGTCACTTATCATGAGTTTCACTTTTAAACTTCAATTATTGGCCAATGTGAACTCATGCGGGGTGCCATTTTGTTCCAGGTTCGCGAATAGAATGGGGAAGTTACCCAGGTTGTTGGCACTGCTGGGGATATGGGTCCTCATGGCTGGAATGGGTGAAGCCGTCGAAGGTCTCAATGTGGAAATAACGACATATATTGTTCAGGTGAGCTCGAGCAGTCGAAGTGGTTCCATGAACACTCTCGAAGATGCTTCGACAACGTACGCCTCCATGATTCAGGCAGTGTCACAGGGTTCGACTGTGATCTCATACGAAATGTCACAAGAGCGCTTGAAGTATGTCTTCGGTGGGCATGCCCTCAGTGGGTTTACGGCCCTTCTTACTTCCCAGGAAGCCGACGCCCTAATGCAGAGAGATGATGTGATGGCGGTTTACCGTGATCAACAGTATTTCCCCCAGACTACCCGTACTCCTGGGTTCATAGGCTTGAGTACCTCCTCCGGGCTATGGCCAGAAAGCAATTACGGAAGTGACACGATTGTTGGTGTTTTAGACACAGGCGTGTGGCCAGAGAGTGAGAGCTTCAATGACGTGGGGTTTGGGCCAATTCCAGCTCGCTGGAGAGGAACGTGCCAGACCGGTAAGAGCTTTACCAGGGAGGTTTGTAACAAGAAGCTTATTGGCGCCAGATACTTCTCCGCCGGGTATGAGGCGGTCGCGGGACCCATAGCTGACAATTCTACTGAAGTGAGATCCCCAAGGGACACTGAGGGACATGGAACTCACACGGCGTCCACAGCGGCCGGATCGCCTGTGAACGGAGCCAGCCTGAATGGACTTGCTGCTGGAATTGCACAAGGTATAGCGCCGAAGGCACGAGTCGCAGTCTACAAGATTTGTTGGAGCCAAGGGTGTTTCGCCTCTGACATCTTGGCAGGTTTCGAGGCAGCCGTGGCCGATGGGGTGGACGTAATCTCTCTCTCCGTGGGTGGTGAGGTTGAAAAGTACGAAGTAGATTTGATTGCGATCGGAGCTTTCGGAGCTGCGAAGAGTGGTATCTTTGTGTCTTGCTCGGCTGGAAATTCTGGGCCGGGGCCGGGTACGGTCCAGAACAATGCCCCCTGGGTAATGACTGTAGGAGCAAGCACCGTAGACAGAGAATTCCCTGCTGACGTCGAGCTTGGTGACGGCAAGATCATCAGCGGAACATCGCTGTACAGTGACAATAGTGCGGCTGAGGTTATGAAATCATTGGTTTTTGGAGGTGATGCAGCCCTAAAAAATAAAACAGAAGGTGCCAAGTGCACAGACAACTCGTTGGATCCGGAGAAGGTGAAGGACAAGATTGTTCTCTGCCAACGAGGAATAAATGGCCGCGTCGCGAAAGGGGATGTGGTGCGCTCAGCCGGAGGCGCAGGTATGATTCTCGCGAACTCTGGTGTGGATGGAGAAGGACTCATTGCCGACAGCCACCTCTTGCCTGCTGTAATGGTTGGCGCGGCAGGTGGAAGCACCACCCTGGCCTACATCACATCTACCCCCGCTCCTACTGCGAAGCTTTCCTTCAGTGGAACAAAACTGGGCGTCACACCTGCCCCTGCAATGGCATCCTTCTCTTCACGAGGACCAAATCCCCTAAATTCCAACGTTTTGAAACCTGATATCACTGCCCCAGGGGTAAACATCCTCGCGGCTTGGACTGGTGCTGCAGGCCCAAGCCCCTTAGCTTCTGACACCAGAAGGGTGAAATTCAATATCATCTCTGGAACTTCCATGTCATGCCCTCACATCAGCGGATTGGGAGCTTTACTGAAAAGCAAATACCAGGATTGGAGCCCCTCAGCGATCAAGTCCGCCATCATGACCTCGGCTTCTCTCATCGACAACACGCGTGGAAAAATAACGGATCAAGTCACGGGCATCAGTGCAACTCCCTTTGACTTTGGCTCTGGGCATGCCACGGCTAACGCATTGGATCCAGGCTTGGTGTATGATATGGCCACCAAGGATTACGTGAATTTCTTGTGCGCAATTGGCTACTCGGTGGATATCATCGTGAGATTCACCGCTAATGCAGTCACCTGTCCGAATCCCAGAGTCGAGATTGAGGATATGAACTATCCTTCGTTCTCTGCCGTTTTTAAGCCACGCATGCTCCTGCAAGGCAACTCAAAGAGTTTCACGAGGAAGGTGACCAACGTTGGGTTTCCAAAATCCACTTACACGGCCAAAACTACATCTCCCGATGGTTACACAATCACCGTTGACCCGGGGACATTGACCTTCAGTGAGATAAACGAGATCAAGAGCTTCACTCTCACAGTGACTTCGAATAATCCCCTTAACATTGTTCGAGCAGGGACGAAATTTGGATCTTTGGAATGGTCAGACGGAAAGCATTTCGTACGAAGTCCCATTGCTATCACTATGCAGAGTTAGGCGATTTGTCATCCATTTTTTTGGCGTTTGTGTATCCTCTTCACAACCTGGCTGGATATTGGCCTTGATATTATTTTTTATCCTATTATGGCTGTATCTTTAGATACAATAAGGCTGAACAAAAGTATGAATCTGGTACGGAAATTGTCATGGACAAATCCCTTTGCGATATCTCTTTATTACATATTACACGTCATTTTTTAGGATGGTAGTAAAGCAGAAACTGTGAGAAAAAAACGTAGAACATTTGCAAATTAACTCAATTTTGAATCGAATATAATCCTTGAATCTGTACCTAGACTGTTTTGTATGTTGAGGCTAAACTGTACTAGTGGATGTTTGGGGAGCTGTGTAGATCCCTCCCAAAACTGATACTAGAGAGATTAGTAACCTACTTCATAGGAGACCTTCTTGTGCTCTTCTCGAATCGTGTGGGAATGAAGCCGTTTGCAAGCGAAATGGAAGCGCAAGCGGCTTGTCAACAGCAGCTACATGGGTTACATTTCAAGAAGCTTCAACAGTTGTGCCCGAAGTGGAGGAATGGATGGAGAGGAATAGCTGCGACACATTGATGATGTGCTGATGTGCTCTGGTGTTACAGTTTGATTGTCCATATGTCCCAGAAGCAGCCACGCATTCTGCAGTATGTCTAAACTGGTATTCCCCATGCCACTCGAGCTCTAGGTTCCCGTTTTGTACACGTCCCTGACTGGCAAGCTGAATACGACATTTTTTGCGGGAAATGCAATATATCCTGCTTTCAGTACGTAGTTGTTTCATGTATATCTCATTGTAGCTGTTGGTAGATGATAACGTGATCTTCATCTGTATGCATACGTGATCTATACTCATTCTCAAAAGAAATTCGTGAGAAAATTTGTAGACACCGAATTAATGTTGCCTCCATTCAGTTGCGCTATGAATGTGGCATGCTACTATGGTTGCTTTACATATCTCGCAGTCTTCTAGACACTGTGCTACTGACAACACCTGTAACTCCACACCTGATCACTGACCTTCGACACCGTTAAAAAGATGGGAAGCACAGCAGCGTTTCCATGCTGGATCATTTGTAAACGCTCTCTGATCTAGAACCACACATTAGTCATATGTTCTGAATTGGAAAGCACATTTTTTGTGCGAATTGAAAACCGAACCTTTCATTTACGTAAACGATTTGCCATTTCTCTCGAATACTATCCTCGTGTAGGCCGGTGAAGGTTGTAGTATTCTAGCTGAAACAATCCCAATATCCTCTTCCGGATTTGTGATCCCGGCAATATTTCAACACCTAGCTTACGACTTTATGTGAAATTCAACATAAGAGGTATGATTGAATAGCAAATAGCACAGCGATTACCATCAACTTAAAGTCTAAGCAGCTTTTGAACCGATACCTTATTACACAGATATTGTAAAATAAGCTTTTCAAGCAATTACGGAAACAATATCAACTATCTAGAGTAAACAAGTGAAAATATATTGCGCATGACCTATGCATCAAAGTAGCTAAACAATCTCTGTAGTTTTATGAGATTCACACGCAATAAATTCTTTTAGTGAACACGAATGTGAGCTGGTAACGTTCACGTAGTTGAGAAGGGTAAAAAAAGTATCTTCTCATTACAAGAAATCAATACATGATTGTGAACAAAGAATTTACAAAAAACTGAAACGCGATATTGCCACAATGTGAGCGAACACAAATGCAAACAAGTAAATATATAATTTTTTCTTGCACTAACAATAGATTTCCTTTTATATCGGCACACAACACACTACTAGATATTCCACAAAATAGGGTTTGATTTATTTAAGCGCGATTCATCCATCTCTTTTGACATCCTCCGCCTTCATTTTCATACGTACTTCCGTTTGTGTAGATTTGTTGAGTGGTTTGTGGTGTATTGTAGATGCAGCTACTTGAATAGGATGGAGGTCGGCACGAGGTGAGGTACACAACTGGCTCGAAAGTTCAGATATCTCTAAATACGCGTGATTGTGATGCGCGCATGCTTCACATGAGTGGAGGAATTGAAATCGCTTCAATATCTAACTTTCGGAGAGGCTTTTCGTGATTCATGACATCAAGGAAACGGTGGGGTGAATATATTCTATGAAGGTCTCGTGCGAGGATATTCCAGGATAATCATCCCTGAGATCGTGAAAAACACGGCACGACTGAGCTTGTCGTTGTGCAAAGGACACCAAGAAGCTGTGATTCTGAATGCTTTTAGTAGGGATTGGCATGGACGTAAACCACCTGCTTGTCAACTTCCAGAAGCAAAACACTCGTTTTGTAAGAAGGAGCACAAGTTTTCTCTGGCGCTCACACAATCTCCAATTCAGCGTGCGTGCTCATCGACTGTGGGATTCGCTGCTATCTTACCGACGATGAAACTGAACCCATCATCTCTCTCGACAACCGGAACCATTACGAGATTGTGCCGACCATATCACAGGATCATCTCGATGCGCTGTAGAGCCTACGCCTAGTAGGCTTGGTCAAAAGTAATGCATGACTTCCGACAAAGATCGACACACAAGTCTGATCAGTCCGATGCTCAATCCACGGAGAAGCAGAGGAGCGGTTGGTCGAACTGGGTCCAGATATTGCATTGTAACACGAGCAGTCGCCAGATACTTCTTGACTACACAAACAGACGATCTCCTGAAAACGCCATACTTGTGATGAGCGAGATGTGGGTGCGCTCCAAAGCTGAAGGCCTCAAATCCACTTGTAATGCCATGAGAGTTGGCGGTGTTCTTTATCTTCTTAGATTTTAAATAGTGTCTATGGCAGTTTCATATTGTTATTACTATCAATTTTATAACTTATTGGTTTTTTCATGGACCTCAATGGTTATTGTTCTGCAGAGTACTACACCGTTATGAGGAATTTAGTTTCCATCATCTACAAAGCTCAAACAAAGAGCATATTGTACTGTTCAAAACAATCATATAACTTAGAATCGATCCACGCTATTTTTGGAATTCTGTTAGTGAAAGAACGTTCAATAATTTATTCCATATGCTGTGAGAAAAAGTAAAAGAGGGAAAAGACCACTCTCAGCTATTGCTAAATTTGCTTCACTGCGATTATAAATTTTCCATGTGGACAACCGCTTTATGTAGTAGCGGTGCTTGCTCTACATACATACATGGTTGGGTTAAATGCAAAGGGAGATTTGTGGAAAAAGAAAATTTCCCACTCTCCAAATTGAGACCCTAAAGTTTAAATCCTTAAATAAAGCAAGCTATTTAAATAAAGCCCTTCTTGTGCACTAACCTTTCACGCATTCAAGTTTTTCTAGTGCACCAAGAGGAGGATGTAGACGATGATAAACAAGTGGTGCGAGTACCAGAACGCATTGAATCTGGTCAGGCGATGGAACGGCCACGGCAGCTTGACCAGATTGCGACGGAAACGGTGATTGGCAAGTAAGTAAGCAATCGTCATCAGAATCACCATGGCAATGCCCGTGTAACCAACCGGCATTCTTAAGAAATCCAACTACGTGGGACGTTTTTGGAAGTAAACACCCAAATACTTGTAGTAATCATCATCCACAGCATTGATGATCCTCGGGAAGTCACAAGTTACGTGGCATAGAACGTGAACAAGCACACCCGCCACTATACCGCCGGCAATAATCTGCACACAACATCCCAAAATTGAATCTGATTCTGTCAGTTGTGGGGTTCGCGCATCACAAAACGAACTATGGAGCATGCGCAGTGAGAAAGTTCTCTTCTATGATAGACGACTTCAAGGGTTTTGTAGAATCTCAGTACTTTTGTACAAAGAGACAGCGACCACTCACCAATACACTCTGCAAAATGTGATTGATGCAACAAGTTATCGGAGTTGGCGAGTTTGTGAAACCAAGCCTCTACTTGCTCCCACCACTTCTGATTAGCGGTGATGGTAGCCTTGTTGATGATTCTCAAACCCCTGATTGCATGCTGCGCTTGTGAACCACTCTTCTGTAGTTTCACAAAATCACATTGTCCCAGCTCAGGGTCAACGATTCCAGGGTGGCGTTTAAGGGTACCTGCACAAGCCAAATCCTGAACCTTTGCATTATGTGGATGTTGACTCCCAAGTTCCAAACTCATGCGTCACACCTTATTGCTCACAGTCTTGATACTCTCGCGGAACGAAGTGGATTAGGGTGTATACGAGCAGATCATTGGCTAAGAGCGAGCTGGCCTACGAGGTGCATTTTCCTCTCGGTCCCCTCCTCCCAACTCCCGAGCACTCATTGCATGAAGCACGTCAAGCGTCATCTCAGCGGTCCAGGGGGAGGCCATCGGGGTCGAGCTCCGCAATGTAACGTAGTCGTCATTGACATCAAGTTTCGTGCATGTTATGTTAGTTTCATGAGAATGAGAATGAATGAATGGTGCCATTTGGTTGTAAAAAAGAAACAATTTTTTTTCTCTTTGGGCATTTCGACTCTTCACATTTTCTAAATATGTATGTTACCAATATCGGTGTCTGAAAACATGCTAAGATAAAGGTAGTGCATATAAGTACCAAATGCAAGTGGTACAATAAGTACCGAAAGAAAACGTTGCACGGAGAAGTAACATGATAGTTGGTTTTTAAAACCTCAACCCACTTCAGTCTTTTAAAACCTTAAAAAGTTTGTGTTTTTTTCAAATTAGTCCTTTGAAAGGTGCATTCCGGGGTAGCTTAGCCTCTCTGTAAAAAGTTGTGTGCTCGTAGTTTCCGTACGTACTGTAGTTAATATCGTAATTTGTTAAGTTTTATTTATTTATTTGTCTTTTTATCAAATTTTTTGATAGTTACTGTAATATTATTTTAACCATAAATCATGTAAGTTCTTAATAAAATTGATAAAATAAACTTTTGTGTTAATCTTAAAATTATTTTAAGTATGGTAGATGTTCTGAAATTGCAAATCATTGAGCTTGGTACAATCTACAGTTTGTATCAAGAAACTTCAGAGATGGAAGATGAATAAATTTGTCTTATTTAGTTGAGCAGGATATTTTTTATTCAACTAAATATAGTAACACATTTGAAAAGTGTTATTCATCTAATTTGATTATTATTATTATTATTATTTTTTCCTTTGTTACTTTTTATTTTATAGCAGAAGAAAAAGATAAAACAACACATGTCAAAAACACCTATTTATATTACATTGAAATATGCTTTTGAAATTACTAATATTTTATTTTGTTAATTTTTAATGTTAGGGACATTTTAATGAACACAAATTTTTAAATAACATCCTTGTTATAAGCCACACGATGACCATAGATATTATAGAGTTTATAATCCAATTTGGTCGGTAGAATCTTACAATTACATATAATGATTTATGAAAAAAAATAAATCATTAGATCAATCAATTATATACTAGAAATAAGTATTTACTTTCAAATTGCTACAAGACTTTATAACTAAAAAAATAAAGTAATGTTTCTAATTTATGTTCCATCACATTTGCATAAAGAATGTGAAATTTTAATTGGGTCTAAAACTTTCTTGCCACTATTTCTTTAATTAACCATCATAAATGCTTTGATACTGATATTACAATCAGTAATTATTGTTGGATAACTACTTATGAATAGAGCTATATTATTATGGATTTTATAAACATATATTTGTTTGAATATATTGTTTAATATACATTTAAAAGAACATCGTATAATATTAAAAAAATGTTTAAAATATATTCTAAATATAATAAAAATTACAAATATCAATTAAAATATAAATTTTTATTACCAATTTAATAAAAATAATATAATTAATTTTCATCAAAAGCATGTTATGACTTTTGCAATGGTAATACATAATAATTTATAGATTTTTAATACACACATATACACACACACATATGTGTGTGTAT